GTCGTTAGCCTTTATGGTTAATTTAGAGGGTCTTGCTCTGATATGTAACATCGGGTTGGGTTCTTTGAGTTGATTTTATATCATTGGGTTATTTTACTGATGTTCCCTTTTGAGGAGAAACCTTGATTTATGCTTTGAGTTCCGCTGTTTTATGTATTTTGATGTACTTTGAGGAAAACCCGTCGTTACGGAGTATTGACCAATTTTGTTGACTTTGAGAAATGTACGCCCTTTTGTGGCTTTTTATGAAAGTTAATATTTTACTCTAAAATCCATGTTATTTTGCCGTAATATCTGTGGGGTAGAATAAGGGTGTTACATATATTACCAGTACTACATAAATTATAGACCAAATATTAACATTCTTTTCTCTAAGGTGATGTAGTGCAAATTCACTCATTTCCACACAAACAACTTTTGGCTGCAGAAGATTACAATTATCACTTACTTTTAAATGCAACATTGTCTATTGGAAGTTTTTCCAGCATGACACTCATGCTTATTATCACGTACAATTTCTTGTTATCACTTACTTTGTGCTTGTGTTTTTTCTAGTAATCTTGCGGTCTTAGTTAATGGTAGTCCGGCCCAAGAAATTAGTATCCAAAAGGGACTTAATCAAGATGATCCCCTGACCCCCTTCCTTTTTCTCCTGGTGGTTGAAGCCCTTAGTAGACTTTTTGCTAGAGCGGTGGAAGTGCAGGTGTTCTCAGAGCTTATAGTGTGAGCATCTAATTTGAATGGCCTCTCGTTTGTAGTATGTGGATGACATGTTTGTTATTATTAAGGCCTTTATTGATAACCTTTGGGCCATCAAAGCGATTTTCCTAGGTTTCAAGCTTTCCTTAAGACTTCGGTGAATTTTGCTAAGAGTACATTCATTGGACTAAACTGTGACCCGACCTTCTTATATATTGCTTGTGACATCCTCCATTATAAGCAAGAGTCTCTTCTCTTCAAGTACCTTGGCCTTCTGGTTGCAGCTAATCCTCGATTTTCCTTTACTTGGGAACCCTTTGTAAATCTCACTAATAGGCGGTTCCTCTCTTAAAGGAATATGGGTAGAGTGATCCTTATGACGATTGAGGAGTGGTCGAAAAATAGATATATCTCATAGAAATCAACCCACTTCACTCAACCCCTACTAATCATAACCCCTACTAAAGTCATAACCACTTTTAAGCCCTACTAAAGTCATAATCTTGCTTTTAAATGAAATTTCTGTAATAATATAGATCATTTGAAACCTTATTCTTATACCAAACTAAATAGATTAATATGTTTGAAAGAAAATAATTCTAAACTTCTTAAAGCCACTAAAGCACTAGTATTTGAAAAGATTTGGGTATCAAATGTGAAAATTAATCTATTTTGCAACTTTAAAGGAGCTAATTGAAAATTTAAAATAAGTTGTAAAAATCATGAGTATACCTTGGGTATACCAGAGCAAAGATGAATTTGATGTTTGATCGATATAGTGTTTAATGGTCTTGATGATCCTAGATCAAGATTTTTTAATGGCTATGATGATCCTGATGATTGTGGAACTTCGTGGAAGTTTGGGGTAAAAGATGTTGTGAGGATCTTATCTCTTTTGATAGGGTTGAGCCAACTTGTTACATTTGATAGTGTGATAACATTCCCTTTAATGAAGAAGTTTCTCTCGAGATATATTGAGACAGTTTTTAGGTAAAACACTTGAGATTAAATTGAAAAACTCTAATTAAATGTTCTACCAAATATTCATCAATTCAATATGAGATCAATCAAGTTCATGATTATTTTCTCTCCAAATTTCAATCAAATCAAATCACCAAATTGAAAGCGCTAAAGAAATCAATTTTTCATAAGATCTAACTGACTATCCAAAGGCTTAATAGATTAGAGAACTCACTTTAGAAAGTTTTGCAAATTAATCTCTTTCCAAAACTAACTCATAAAACATTATTTAACGATACACACTTCTAACCTTTCATCCATCCAAATTTTCTTCTCTCTTCTCTTGTTTGTGCAAGTGTCTACCTATGTTGTTATATCATCATAGTTATGGCTCTTATAAAGAATTTTATATTAGAAATCCTTCCCCAATAAGCTCTCCATAAAAGGCTTCCTCTTCAAAAGTTTAAGAGAAAAAAAGATTTCTTCATGGATTGAAATTATGTCGAAGATTTTTCTCCTTATGATAACATCTATATATCTATATGGGTTGCTCAAAGAACTCTTCGATGAAAAATCAGTTTTGGTGTATCCAAGGCTTGTTCAAATTTTCTACTCCAACCTTAAATATGAAAGGCATATCTATTACATCAATTTCACCATGAGAGAATTTGGGATCATGCGTAAAGTTTATGCTAATGAGAGGAAAAAAACCTTAAATATGAAAGGCATATCTATTAGATTTGATCATGTCATTGCGATAGAAAGTTTCCTTATCAACCAAATGAGGTATAAGAAACTTCCTCTCAGGACAAAATTTGTGAAAGCAACTTGTTGTATTGTGCATCACCTAATGACCCATGTGTTATTTCTGAGGAAGAAACATCTTGACGAACTCTTAAAAGAATATGGAGTACCTTTGTGGCTGCTTACTCGAAACTTTCAAGTCAATTGGTCATATAGTATGACTCGCTACATGCTTATGTGCCAAAGGAGCAATTCATCATTATTACCCTAAGAATGTCTAATCACCAAGTTCCTGGTTAAAGCTGGGATCTTTGGATAGAGAAACCTCAAGTTCAACTCCTGGAAAATTTGATGAAAAATCTCTAGTTTGATTAAGGTCTGAATTAATAATGGAAACTTAGGGATTCTTCCAATGAAAACAAGTGATAGCAAGGACAACCAATGATCATCTTCAGAAGGAATGTTTTCAACTTTCTTAGCAATCTCCCAAGGGACGGTTGGTTGTTCAAGAGTTGAGCAACTTCCCTCAAGAAGCGTCCTTGGAAAAGGAAATAGCCAATGATGATAATAACAATTAGTAGTTGTCTTGTGTCTTATGTTTATCCTTCTTAGTGTTGTTTATTTTTAGTTTTTTCCCATTTTATTATACTTTGAATTTATTTTAGTTAAATCTATATAACAAATACTCCCTCCTCCACAATGAATGACTCAGTTGACCATTTCACACATATTGAAAAAATGAATAAATGAAAGAGAGAAATTCAAATAAGTGAGTATCAAAGTTAGATGCGTCCTAACCATTGTGCATATGGAGGTGTTGTTTCACGGTTTTGAAAATTTGTCACAGAAGAAATTATCGGGTCGAGTCGCAGACTAGGTAGCTCACTTTAAAACGTTTTGTGGCACTGTTCAAAGTTATGTAAAGCAGTCTAATTACTGTGTCGCCTCCAGGATAAAACAGTTCAGTTCTATATTGTAGAATTACTATTTGCATGGCAGATAATTAGTCTAGATATACACCCTCTGATAATACAAAGATCATTCAATTATAGTATAAATATCACTCATAATATCTAGCATAACGAACAATTGTAATAATCTCTTAAACAAATTCCAATAATTCTCCAAAGAGAATTTAATGATGATCATTTGACCACTCAAAATTATGTCTCAAACAAAGTGAAACTCTAATAATTTTCTAAAGAGAATCCAAAAATTATATTTGATAATTTCTCAACTCAAACAAGGAAAAATTATCATAATCTCTAAAGAGAATTCAAGAAAATATTCAAAAAATTCAACGAGTAGAAAGAAAAGGGGAGAAGTTAGCGGTTCAACAATTCGAAAGACGCAAAGTTATGAGAGTGAGAAGGGAAAAACTCAAAACAAGTTTTTTGTGTGTCTTGAAATGAAATACAGAATTTCCTTATATAATGAAGTGAGAAAGGAAATTTATCTCACCTAAACAACGTGGGACGGAGGAGTTTTTTCAACTAACACACAATGTGGGCTTGACTTAAGGAACTTTTTCAAATTAATCTCTCTATATTTGAATATTGACATAATGTTCCAACAATCCCCCACTTGAATTTAAAAAAGCGTTTCACAAGTAACGTCAAACGTTTATAAGATTGTGCATAAACAATAGTGTCTACGACTTGAACCTTTGCGTAGTAAGTAGGACTATCATTCAACAAGAGTGACACAATTATCTTCAACTCTATCTCAGACATCAAACTCGCACACAAGCTTTTCTTAAGGTGTATTCTAATAGCTTGTGCATTAATGACCCTACACGTGTATCCCAATTTAGTGAAGGCTCTAGGAATTTTGCATCAAAATTCTATAGGAACTGGCAAAAGTCCCACAATCACTAGGTGGGTCTATCAAGAGTACTCCTATAGCCTAGATACTTCATCATACAGAGTATAGATCTCATTAAGAGTTTCTAGTGTGTTTTGAAATGAAATACAGAATTTTCTTATATAATGACTTAAGAGGGAAATATATCTCATCTAAATAATATGAGATTAAGGAGTTTTTTCAACTAACACACAATGTAAAAGTTGACTTAAGGAACTTTTTCAAATTCATCTCGATATATTTGAATATTAACCTAATGTTGACCTAATGTTCCAATAGGAGGAGGTGTTCCCCAACTATGCTACAATGGCTCAACGAGTAGGATTAACTCAAATAGGTGAATATCAAAGCTTGAAGCCACTATAAATTTCCGGTTAGTCTCCCAAGTATACACACTTGATATCTCACTTAAATCATGTTTTCGCCCTACCTTAAGTATAAGAGTGTCTTTACAGATACATACAACAGTTTCCTACTTTGAAGAACTGTACGAGAAGAGGCAGGGAGTAACATCATCAACTCAGGTGACTGCCCTATTGTGCCATACAGGAATACATAGTATTTATTTAAAGAATGAGAAACACTCCCTTTTGAAAATGGTATTATTCAAATCTTGTGAATGAAAGCACAACATGGACAAGCTTGTTTCCTGAACCTCTATGCACCACTATAATATACTATCATTTTTATAGGATTTATTATGCATGCAATTCTCTTACAGGATCATGTCAAATTCATCTCTTTGTTGGATATCGATTCAGAGACACTTGAACTTCTTCAAGCGTACGCCCCTTAGTCTCTGGTACTAGTTTTGCTATAAAAAGAATGGTGAGGCCGGATATGCTAGAGAACATGAAGAAAGTTCCTGGTCAAAAACAACATATTAATGAACATATTCAACACTTGATAAGCATTTTTTCTGCTTGAGGGATCAGGAGTTACTCGGACCCTACCTGTTGAACTCCAACTCATGAGGAAGTTAAAAGCATATGATATAATCCAAGAACACAGCCAGTGAACAGTTGTTACAAAGCTTCCAGCAGAACCCTTCACATTGATGGGAAATATCTGGTAAAAATGATTATCTTGTCAAGATGAGAACTTATATTAAGATCAAAATTTTCATATAGTGTCTAAGCATGGAAGTAGCAATATTACCTCAGACATTATAACCCAGGGTATTCCTCCCATGCCAAGTGAGAACGATCCCGTAAATACCTGATTATTATGATAACTAAATTGTGAATATGAATATAATAGTTATTGAGACCTAAAGCAAATTCTAAAGTAAGGATCAGACAGATCATTACCAGTACACCGACGAGTGCGAGAATAGGACTGAATTCCTTCCACTTATGCAAGTCCTGTATAGTGCAAGTGAAAAAATCTATTGATTTAGAACTAATGTGAAAAACAAGGTAACCGAGCAGATTTATTATTCAGAGAACCTGCAAAAAGAAGGACAGAGATGCAAGGAAGCATCCTAAGCATGTTCCTGATGCAGATATCTGTATAAATGTAAACATTTCAGATTCCGAAATTTACTGAATATTATGAAAAGGAACGCGCAAAAGCTCGATCGTTTTTACCAATAAAAGTGGTCGTCTTCCACTTTTATCCATCAAAAGTACTCCCAAAGCTGTCATTGGTATCTATGAAGACAGAAATAACTGAATAGTGTGAAGAGACTGGGTAATGACTTGTCATCATTAAGAAGACAGCAACAGATACATTATATGAAGAGAATTTATAACCTGAACAATAACCATTCCTATTGTTCCAATACTTCTGGAAAACCCTGCCACAGATAACAATTTTCACTTTCATGAGAATCATGTTATAAATCTAATGTATTTGTAATCACCTTCTTTACATGCCATATGCAATGAAGCAATGACACGGACACCAGACAAATCGACACGTGTGATAGTTTGAGAAATAGAATAATTCAACTGTGCCAGTATCAGACACCTCACACGTCTTCAATGAGAAGTGTCGGTTACATAGGTCATATAATAGAAGCATGAACGAAACCTGCACGTACCAGCAGACACAAATATAGAACTTGCATAAAAAGAAATGCCATTAACCCCTCCAAATTGTTGTAGTACTATCAGGCCAACTCCTACCTAACATTGTAACTAAATACCATAAGAATCTGTAAAATTTTAAGATAAGATGCATGAATTAGGCATAGAAATCTGACAGTAAGTGACTTCAAATACTGTAATTGAAATAATCCAATGATGCTAGCTTCTGTTTGCTGTTGAAAGACTTCGGTAAATTCCTACAAAAAGTACAGTGTATAAAATATGTTAACATTTTTTTTGGTTTCTTCCTCTTTTTTCTTGTTTCCTAATTAGATTATAACCCACAAATCAACACTAATGAAAAAATGCTTGTTATATACTCTAATTTCAATAGCCTCTTCAGAAACATCAGCATTCTTTCCTCTAAGGTGCTGTAATGCAGATTCACTCCTTTCCATGCGACCAACCTTTGCCTGCAGAAGATTGCAACTATCACTTACTTCTAAATGCAGCACCGACACTTCATAAAGAAAGAGTACTGACACATGTGATTATATATAATCACTTCTATTTTCACAAATCATTTTTAGTGCCTACGTGTTAATATTAGTGTCATGTCCGGTGTCTGAAATTATGAAAAAAAAAATCAGTAGCTTGTTTCAATTGTCTTACACAACTATTCCAAACGATAAACCTGTAACAGACGTGAACAACTCACCAGCCACCTAGGAGACTCGGAAATAAAGTATAGACTCAGAAGCTGTGCAAGACACGGAATAGTTCCTGAAATAAAGAAAGAGAATGCTGAGTTGATGCAAAGACTTCTTAATTTCATTTTGTAAAAAACGAAAACCAGAAAGAACATTACCTATTAGAGCCAAAACCCTCCAATTCAAGTATGTTCCGATAAGATAAGTTAACGATACTCCAAAACAAATCATCAGCTGTCAAAATCATATCAAAAAAAGGATTTAAAATAAGCCTATATGTATTATATATGTAATCCATGGGTGGTACTAAGTCGCATATAACCTATGGACGGTATTGCTTTACCTGATGAGTTGCGGTGAATCCCCCTCGAAGATCCTTAGGTGTTATTTCAGCAATATAAACCGGAACCTAAAATGGAAAGGGAACTGCCTATTTGTTGTAATTCTTTGAAGTGGCTAAGTTCATTTGAATTGTAATTACGACAAAATAAAAGTCAGTGCAGTTTACCACATAAGATAGAAGGCCCATTCCACATCCTAACAATAGTCTTCCAATATAAAGCCACCAAGCAACCTTCAAACAAGAAAAACCAAGCATCAAATATCAACTGCTGAACTTGTAATCAGAGAATATGAAAATAGAAAACGCTTTCACAAAGTAAACAGAGCCTAAGAGAAAATGGGAACGGAGACAAAGAAACAGTAAACCTTTGAGAATGCTATGGCAAGCCATCCCAAGATGCAGAATAGCTGTGAGAACCCCATGGCCTATGATACCAAATTGAAAAAACAATAAATTAACTGTGGTCACATTTTAGGAAATATAGTCCAAATTGGAGAAACTTACAAGTCGACGACCTGCGTAATCTGCTATGCTGCCACTAACAATCGCTCCAACCATTGCTCCAATTGACAGTACGGAACCAAAAACTGAATACTGCATAAATGCAACTAGTTTGACTTACAGAAACTAATAGATCAGAGCCAATTGAAACCGATTCAAATATTGAAAGAAAGTCTGAACCTCAGCTACGCCAAGATTGAGGTCATCCATGATTCCAGATTGAGCAGGGGATGAATACCCCACCTGCAAGATGAGAATGTTAGTATATATCATAAACTTGTTTGTTAAATCCCCCCAAAGCATGGGAACTTACAGCAGAGCCAAAAACATAAGAACCAGAGACAGCAACAAGGGTGCTAAGTATAAGAATACGAGTTGGTACTGAACTAGCTTCTTCACAAATGGAAGAAAGAAGATGAGTTGAAAATTCGATTGGTTCGGTACTTTCATTGTCCATGACAAACTACACTCAGAACTCAGAAAGGATGCTGTAAAAGAAGAAAACCTTAGTGTATATGATGTGATGTGTGTGTGTAATCTGAAATGATTGGCACTGATTTTGTTGTAGGAAACGTGAACTTATTTTATTTAAGCTATTGTATTGAATGATAAATTATTTTTGCTACACAACAAATTCCTTTGTTTTAGATGATAAATCATCTAAGTAGAAATTTTTTGGAGCCATGTTATTCATGAAGATTCACATCAGAAATATGATATAAAATGACCCAGTGGTATAAATCTAATCCTTTTATCATTTAATTTATAATTATTTTAATATATACCATATGCAGCATGTGCTATCAAAATTTGTGGAGGAGAAATGAGAGTACATGATATTATTTTTTGTCTGTGACTTTTTTCATCAGAGTTATTAAAAGAAAAAATAATACACATTAAATACAAAATAATTTACATAAAATTCCAAAATAAAATAAAATAAAAAAGATGTTCTGGTATAATTTAACATCTATTTCTAAGGATGTGTAAATCACGTTCTGTCAAAAAAAAAAATTTAAATCACAAACTATTACAATACAATTGTGAGACTTGCAAATACAATTTACACGCTTTCTATCTTTGTATGGGCAAGGATGTTTCATGAAACCTTCATTTAGAATCAATCTTCCATTTTTGAAAACTTCTTACTGGGTTTTTTGTACATTGAATTCATCTCTTCAATGAATTTGAATTCAAAGAAGCTTGAATTTCTTCTAGTGTACGCCCTTTGGTTTCAGGAACTAGTTTTGCTACGAATATAACAGTGAAGCCACATACAACTGCGAATCCAACGAAAGTTCCTGGCCGAACATAACACAATAATCAATATCATTTCTTATATATGTACTACATAATTAAAAAAATAAAAAATAAACTCATTCGAGAACTGGGGAATATGAAGATTAAAACCAAACATACCTGTTGAACTCCAAGTCATGAGGAAGTTAAAAGCATATGACACAATCCAAGAACACAACCAGTTAACCAAGGTTACTAAGCTTCCAGCAGAACCCTTCACGTTAATAGGAAATATCTGGAAAATGAAATATAACCACTCATTATCAGTTGAGGAATTATTATGTTTGGATTTGTATTTTCGTTAGTTCAGGCATATTAAGACGAAGCTACCTCGGACATTATAACCCATGGAATTGCTCCCATGCCTAGCGAGAAAAATCCAACATAGACCTGGTCATTAACAAAATTAAAAAGAGAACTACATTTATTTGTCAATAGATTCTAAGTCTTAAAATCATTTCTATCACACGAAGGAAAGTACAGCTCTAGAAGGCCTTATTATAGTCCAAGATTCGACGTATATGAGGATGATTGCATAAGCATTATTACCAGTACACCAACAAGTGCAAGAATAGGACTGACTTCCTTCCATTTATGTATGTCCTGCACAAGACAATTGTAACTAATCTTAGGTGTTGTTTGGATAAACAACTTTATTAAGTGTGTATGGCACACAAGTGCTTATGTATATAAGCTATTTCTTTAACAAAAGATAAAATAAATGTTTTTATAAATCATGTTATAAGTTATTTTTATAAGCCATCCAAAACAGTCTCACAAGTACTTGTACCAGTAGATAAGATTAAATAACTCAATCTAAACAGACATTTATTAATAATTTATCTGAAAAAAAAATTATTAGAGCATATATTTTGGTATTAGAAGAACCTGCAAGAAGAATGATAGGGCTACGAGGAAGCATCCTACGCAAGTTCCCACTGCAGACAACTGTGTAAGAGTCAAAATTTCGGATTCAGAATTTACAAAACGTAGCAAAATAAGAAGTAATACAATCTCAAATGTATTACCAGTAAAAGTGGTCGTCTTCCAGATTTATCCAGCAAAAATACTCCTAAAGTTGTCATTGGAATCTACAAATACAAATGATGAAATTGTGTGAAGAGACTCAGGAGTCTGTAATGAAGTGTGAGTCAATTCTCTTATACAGAATTGGACCAACATAAATGATGAAATTGTGTGAACAGAATTAAGAACCTTAACAGCAACCATTGCTATAGTTCCGATACTCTCCGAGAATCCTGCCATAGATAAGAAATTTTGCAGTTGAGGGAATCATGCTGTCGTAAATCTAATATTCTTGCATCTGTCTTCTTTCATTTGATGTATAGTAGTAAAAATAGTATTAGCATAGAAAAGAACCTGCACATACCAGCAGAGGTAAATATAGAATTTGCATAGAAAACAATGCCATTAATCCCTCCAAACTGTTGTAGTATCATCAAGCCGAGTCCTACCTAAACAAAGTAGGTAACTATCACAAGAGTCTGCAAAATAAAAACTAAGATATGATCTATGAATAGGACTAATTTAGAAAGCTCACTGTAAGTGACTTCAAATATTGCAATTGAAATAAGCCAATAATGCTAGCCTCTGTTTGTTGCTGAAGGGCTTCGGTATAGTCCTACAAATAAAAGTACAATTCATCAGATGATATACACTGATCCATTTGGCTTCTTCCTTTTGCAACACAAGAGTGCATTCTAAAGAACAAAAAGTAATTACATACCCTGATTTCATTGGCCTCTTTATAAACATCAGCATTTTTTCCTCTAAGGCGCTGTAATGATGAATCACTCTCCTTCAATCGGCCGGCCTTTGCCTGCAGAAGATCATGAGTACCATTTGATGACATGCCTTGACTCAGACAAAAATAATGATGAAAAATCTCCAGCCGCTTGGGTAGGCCATGTCCAACACATACAACCCTAAACAATCATATCACGGACAACTCACCAGCCACCTAGGAGAATCCGGGATAAAGGGAAGACTGAGAAGCTGTATAAGACAAGGAACAATTCCTGAGATAGAGACGAAAAGGATGAGAATTACATCAAACACTTGGTTTTGTTTTGTGAAAAGAACACCTGAAAGAAGAATGTTACCTATTAGAGCCAAATTCCGCCAATTTACAAATGCTCCAATAAGATAAGTTAATGACATCCCACAGCTAATCATTAACTGTCAAAATAAAATCAAATAGAGATTTGAAATGTTCCCATACGTGCTACAATGACATATACAAAAATACAAGTACACCAAAAAAAAGAGAGTGAATTGATATTATATCATTACAATATTGCTTCACCTGATGAACTGCAGTGAATCGGCCTCTAAGATTCTTTGGTGTTATTTCTGCTATATAAACTGGTACCTATTATGTAAAGGGAAGTATTTACTTGTATTCTTTTGGTGACTGAATATCGTTTTAATTGCAATCGTAACAAATAACACGTTACCACATAAGATAGCAGGCCAATCCCACATCCTACCAACAGTCTTCCAATGTAAAGCCACCAAGCATCCTTCAAATAAGCACAGCTAAAGATTAGATATCAACAACTGAACTTGAGGGAACCCGTGGAAATAACAAGAGCACTCAACTGATAGAATCTTAGTAGTTCACATTTTGTAGCTCAACTTTGTCTATCTGTTTCTATTTTGTAAATGACATTGATGTCCCCTCAATTACACTCAGAATAAGGGTGTCGGTTAAACAAACCTATAGGGAGGGGGAATGCAATTTCTTCAATAAATAAGGATCCATATGAGTATATGTTTAAAAAAAATAGAAGAGTGTGTATAACACATCTTGGGAAAGCTAAGTCTGAGTGACACCTCCTAGTCAATATCATGGCTTATACTTCAAATTTCCAATAGTTAAAATAAACAACAACAACAACCACCAAGCTTTATCCTAGTAAGTGGGGTCAGCTGCACTGCATGGATCAAAGTCAGACATAATGTTCAATCTAATACCATGTTTCAATCCAATTCGTTAATCTCGAGATCTTTCTTAATAGTTTCTCTTATAGTTTTTCTAGGCCTTCCTCTACATCTAGTTGTTTGACTTCTCTCCATCTGATCTATTTTCCTTACAGCAAAATCTACCTGTCTTCTCTCTACATGCCCAAACAACCTAAGTCTATTTTCCACCGTCTTTGATGCTATAGCCTATAGGTGCTACCTCATTTCTAATCTTACTTCTAATCTTATTTTGTCTAGTCTTACCATATATCCAACGCAACATCCTTTCCATGGAAATCATTTCCCCTTACTTGGAATAAATATAAGTTGTGTACTTGCGTTAGCCATGTTTGTTTAGCATGTACGAAGCAAGCATAAAGAAAAAGTTATAATTCCAACATTTAGTAAATAAGAAAGCACAATGTGATACTTAAGCCGTAAGCCATGAGGCTCTTCCACCTAATGGATCAATCTTTTCAGTAAGGCTATTCTCATGAGCTGAAGTCACAACCGAAAACTATGGAATTCGGGAATAAAGTGGAAGAAATGAACTACATACCTCTGCGATTGTTATGGCAAGCCATCCCAAAATGCAGAATAGCTGTGAGAATCCCATGGCCTGTTCAGCATAGTGCAAAATAACCAAATTCAATTAAGGTGGAAAACAAACATCAACATTCAATTTAAAATAAATACAGAAACAAAACATACAAGCCGACGACCAGCGAAATCTGCTATTGTACCACTGACAATGGCGCCAATCATAGCTCCAATTGTCAAAATTGAACCGAAAATTGAAAACTGCGCCACGCCGAGATTGAGATCAATCATGATTCTAGATTGAGTAGGGGACGAATACCCGATCTACAAAACCAGTGGCGATTCAGATTTTCTGTAACGGATTTTATTGAAAGAAATGGCGAATTAGCTTACAGCAGTTCCGAAAACGTAAGAACCAAAAACAGCTACAAGAGTGGTAAGTGTGAGAGTCGGTGATGGTAGAGAAGAAGAAGTTGTATTCTGCTTCTGCTTCTGTCCGTCATCGTCATCGGAATCACGCGGTTGCGATTCGGCATTTCCTCTGAACAGAAGAGGCCTCGAAGATTCGATCCTTTTTTAGTAGGAAAGAGATTCAGAGATTAGTTATAGTTATTACGAGAGAAAAAGTTAGTT